GAAGCCGTGGTTTACAGTGAATTTATAACAGCTAACTCCGCTTCGCGTCATACCTAACAACGCCTCCTAGCTGTTATAAATTCACTGTAAACCACGGCTTCTTTGGGCTTAATTGCTTTATTATGAAACCGTTTTTACATAGATAATATTTTATCACCAAACCCAAATCAGTCAAGCACTAGCTGAAATTTCAATGCATCACTTCTTATGATGTCAATGTGATGCAAAACAAAGCCTCAGCAGTTTATAAACAAGCAATCACTACTAGTTTCCTTCTATGTTCTTTCTATGTCCACAACACTTAGTTTTACCGTAGAGCTGCAGTTTTGGGCTGTGGAGGGTTTATCGGCTGCGCTTGAAGTCGCTCGTCCTGCCAAGTAGCGTTACATTGGCGTTTTGCTGACTGTCTTCTGCGGGAGATTGTGAACCTGCGGTGACATCTCAGCCGAATCAGCAGACTCAATCACAATGACTGCTGGGAAAATGAATCAGACTTGAGTGTTTTTTCTGCAAGTTTGGCCACAGCAGTGACAGTGTTCAGTGCAGAACTGCTGATGCACAGCGCTCGGCCGTATTTGTGGCCTGCATTTCATTTTTGTGACTGAGAAACAGTGTTTTGAGTAACATAATTGACCTATCGGTAAGCCCTGCCCCCCTTAGTTACTATTGCTCCCTCGGACAAACAAATGGAGTTGCTCACTCTCTTACAATGACAGCTTTCAGTGTGAAAACCTGAAGGGCCACCATTCAAGCGGGAATTAAAAATATAAAAATATAAAATATTTAAAAATAAATACGGTGGGTAACTCGAAGCGAGGGTTTACAGATCACAATGCAAGCGGGAGAAGTCTCATATTATGGTCTGAATTGAAAAAAAGTTGAATCAAAGCATCTTATTTGTTGTTTCTATAGTAAGGCTGTTAATTTACTATTTGGTGCGATTAATTATGGAAAAGCCTGTCCGTCATCTTACATTGATGCAAGTTCTGATGAATATGATACTGCGTGATAAAGTCCATGAGAATGCAGTTATGTGATCCTAAAATTCAAGATATGAGGGCAAAAATCACCCTCTTATATTTATATCATATGATATAGTTTAGCAATAACACACCAGCAAGAAGAGTGCTGTTTTTACCTAATATCTGCACGACTGCAAATTAGTATTGATTTTATATAACAGTTCAACAGACGAAAAAGTTACTATTGTTACATTTTAGACACAATATTGTCAAACCGTTGTAATGAAAGCCACAGCTGAACCATTGAGCGTCTCTGATCAACACAGTGGTGATTCTGTACTGAATGAATCAGCTGTTTGAATGAACCGAGTGAGTCAGCGAT